GCTTACACAAAATAACATTCCTCCCAAAAATACCTATTCTGGAATAATGACCATTATATATGTTTGTGGATGTGAAGGAGCTTCAGGATCCTGCATTGACTGGGAGAGTGCTGGACTGCAAGAAGAATCTAACAGCACAGTTGTGGTTCCTGAAGTTGCTGGATGAGGAAACCCTGGAGCGACTTCAGAGAACAATTGATCCCATTCTGAGTCACACGGCCGTGACCTGTACATACAATTCCTGCTACAGGTGTCAAACCAACAGTGACACTTAACATAGACGTGAAAGTCAACACTCTTTTAGGTTCTCAAATACTGGATTTCTTTGCTAAAGCATTCAGATTACAAGTAGACAAACAAAGCACTTGCTTATTATCTATCAATGTAGGACCCTACACAAAGTTTTGAAGTCTTGTCATTTTCATGAAACAGCTACAAACATCTTAACAGCTGATGTTTAGAAACATTTTTACTCATTTAGTTTCCAAACTACAAGACAACAATGTGTTAAACTCTGTGGAATCCACCACCACATCTAACTGCTGCACTCATTATGGTTTTAAACACTGTGTAAGTCACAGTACAAGTGCATGCACTCACAACTGGGTAACAAATGGAGTGATCTCCCAGCCGCTCCTTACATTTGTGGTCAAACTTGCATGTTATTTTGAAATGTCTCTTTTCATCAGGAAGGATGGGAACATGGGACTGGCCGCTCATCCACTGGAGCACATGGTGGACAGCAAGAGACTCAGATTTTTCACCACCTGTGTTTCCATCTGTGATGTTTGAAAATGTTTCTGAAGTCTTTTCTAAATAAAAAGCGATCTGGATTACAATGTTTTAAATTAACAACTAAGAATACTTCCTAGTGCCCTGCATGTTAAAGCAAAAATATTTAACAGATGCATACGGTATATATACAATACTGTAGGTATATACTAATACTATATAGTGCCCGATACTTCAATCTCCTGCAAGAAATTTCATCAAAATTGTCTCACCTCATCATCAGATCATCAGGAGAGAATTTTCCTTTGCACGTATTGATGTGTACTGCAAGCATCTGCAGAGGCATAGCTTCATTACACTGGTAACATATCTTCTTTGGCATCTTTGAAAAGTGGTCGAGTCCCACAAAAATTCGGAAGCAGATTTGCGTCGCCAAAACGTGTGAAACGCGCGTCAGTTTGACTCGCGAAAAAAAAACACGCGCATGAGTTTTTTTATTGCATTTTGTGCGTACGCGCGTTTCGTGTCTACCGCTCGAGTTGGAAAAATCTGAACTCCAGCGTCAAATCGCGCCGCGACAACCAATCAGGAGTCTGGTGACGTGGCTGTAACCTAGGTCAAAGGGGCAGATCCAGCCAAAGCGCTTCATTCTTCAATGGAGGGAAGGCTAATCAAAGCCATAGCAAACAACCCGGAGCTGTACGACATCAGCTGCTTTCTGTACCAAGACAGGAATATAAAGCAGCGGTCCCCAACCCCCGGGCCTCGGACCGGTAGCGGTCCGTGAGTCGTTTGGTACCGGGCTGCGAGAGTTGAGGCTCAGGTGTGAAATTTATAGTTTTCAGGGTTTTTATCAGTTTTCAGCGTTATTTTGTTATCGTTTTTATCGTTTACTCAGTTTTCCTGGGTCTTTTCACGTGTGTTATGAATAAATCTTTTTTTCGGTACCGGTACTAGTTTTATTTTGTTGTATTTA